AAGGCAGTAAAGAACAGTAGCTAACCAAACTAAATGAAATAAAACAACATATTACAAAGTTACAAAATATAACAAAGTAGCTCTAATTATAAATATACCGGTAAATAACACATGATTGAGTGTAATGTAATAATATATTTTTGCGTTCTCGTGTTCACACAGTTGGATGTCCACGCTGCCAGCTGGTCTGACGGTGTGACAAAAATAAAGATATATTTAAAGTAAGGTATAACATATACACTTAAAGCCACGTCACAGGGATTTGTTATATGTCCAGTGCAGTGGAAATGATAGCATATGTACACATGATAAAATAGTAGCATGAGGACCTGCAGTTCACCCTAAAAGTATCACCGGTGTCTGAACGAGCACATGTTGGAGATTCTCTTCAAAAAACCCCAAAACACAAAACTTGAGTAACGTTTTGAAGAAACGTTGGATCATCAAAGAATCTAGATATTATCTAACAGGAAATGTTTCCTACCACTCGTCCTGTTTGACTCATACTGCTGGTTCGACACGGTTCTTCTCACTGGTGAGTAGGTAGCAGTGGCTGCTGCAGGATCTCTTTCTGCAAAAAATGAGATGAAAAAGATTTTCCACTGATAACTGTACTGTAACTGCCGATGTTTCGATGTTTGGAGCACTAATATTCATAATCATCTAATGATGATTAAAATGCAAAGTGGAGGAAAGACTAAAGTCAGCATTATGGTGGGTGATCTTTGTGAGACCTGCGGTAAAACATGTAAAAGAAAAAAAAACTTTTTTTTTTCTCTTCTTTTAGTCAGAAAACAGGAAACTGGACGGCGGCGAAGCTTCTGTTCACTTCGATAGACTCTGACCACAAAATCTCAAGTGCAGCATCACGGTTCACCCAGAGCAAAACAAAACATTTAGTGTAAACTATATTAAAAGCATGTTATTGAACATGAAATGCAGAAGCAGAAAATGTTGCACAACTGCAGTTTAGTTTCACTATAAATATGGTAATTTAACTGTTTAAAAACAAGTGCTCACAAAGTGCAAAAACAGCACATCCTGTGCATCATGTGACTGTTATTAAAGGAACAGTTCACCCCATGGTCACACCTACATGTGTGATTATGTTTATCCACTTCAGTTACTTCAGTGTGAATTTCCCACTGGGTGAGATATCAGCATCAGTGTAACAGGACTGACTTTCACCCACTTTATAGCACTCAGAGAAAAACACTGTAGATTATTTTGTCACTTTAAGCTGATTTATATAGAAACATTAAATGTGAACAGAATGTGTGTCTCACCTTCAGGTTTCCTCCAGACACATCTTCTCACCAGTACAACCAGTACAACCAGCAGCAGCA